TTTGTGTGCTGCTCTGACTATCAGGGGATTCAGTTTGTGAAAAGGCTTCAGAAACTAACAGTAATTGCTGCTCTATACCATGTAGCACTTTTATTTGGACAGAGGAGAACTGAGAGTGAAATCCCTACCCCAATATTAAAGGTACATGTACATGTACATGTACATGTACATATACATGCTTATAGCACAGAATGAGTTGTCAATTGTTATATCAATAAGTGAAACACTATGATTCATGTACAATTGTACATGTGCGTATACCAGATCACCATGCACATATAAAAATAGTTATACGTTTGTATCATAACAGAATTACCAAATGTGATAATTGTGTATGTACATATACATGTACACGTATGCATGATATCACTAAGAGATTTGCCATCTAATATTAGTATTGCCCTTATTAGGAATGATGATTTTATTATTTGCAGTGTGAGTGTGTGTGTGTGGTTAGATTCGTCACAACAACTTGTTATTGTTTGAGCCTGTTTATACCTTTTTTAGTTCATTGTTATCTCTATTTATAGTCAAAGGAGGTCGTGAGAGCTGAAGTGGCAGCTTATTATGATGATTTTGATGAGGCAGAAAGATTGTATATACAAATGGACAGAAAGTATGGGCAGTATTTCTCTCCCCTTTCTCTCTCTTTCCCCTCTCTCTCTCTGTCTCTCTCCCCCCCCCTCTGTCTCTCTCCCTCTCCCTCTCTCTCCCTCCCTCCCTATTATGTAATACTTCATTAATTAACATAATGATAATAATAACAATTAATCCAATCATTGCTTACTCATCCATTTCATACACATACACAGCGTCTATATTTCTCACCCACATCCCCTTACAAGTAGGAATTATAATGTATCACCATAATATTAACATAATTAACATTATACATGTACATGTATATTAATACAAAACAATGTATTATTATTATTAATGCAATGGCACTCTAGCCTCCTTTATTAAGGATACCTTTGAGCCCACACTACCTCTCCTTAATACAGAGGTGTCCTCATTTCAGAGGTACATGTACTTTTGTATGGGTTTATACTAATTAGGACGTTACAAAATCCCCTTATCATAAAAGTGTCCTAATTATAAAGGTGTCATTCTATGCTGTACATGTATTGTATTATGTAGGGACCTTGCAATTGAGCTAAGAGTAAAGTTAGGTCACTGGTTTCGTGTGCTGCAGTTACTGAAGTCTGATGGATCTTTAGGTGAAAGAATAACGTATACTATAGTATAGTCATTTTGTGATCAACTTTACTTCATTGATTCATGATTGATTCATTATTGATTCATGATCATGTGCTTGTATTTGCGTATAGCTACTGATGTACAAATGGCTCAAGCATGGAATTCCATTGGTGACTATTATGCAGAGAGAGATATGTGGTAAGTACATACATGTACATGTACATGTACATGTACATGTTTACATATAATTTTTACACTCCCCTCTCTCTCCTTTTAAATACTAATACATCAACAGTTTGTATTTCTTATCTTTATTTTATAAACTCTTTCTTTTCTTTTAAGGGAACATGCATTGGGGTATTACACTCAGGCTAGCAACACAGAGCTAATGGCTAAAGCCTTCTTTATACTGGAGAAGTTTGATTCACTGGAATCACTAGCAGATGGCCTACCAGTCAACCATCCTTTATTACCAGTAAGCATACATGTACGATTTTATGTTCAGTAAGTGCATATAATGGTTATGATTTTTTAAAGTTTATTAAGGGATCTTTTAAAACGTTACGTTAAAATGACACATGAATTAATTGTGTCGTTATATAATTATTAGAGAAAAACACACTAAAATTAGCTCGTAATACTTCAAAGATGCCGAAAT